CAGAAATTATCTGCTTTATTCACACAAGTTCGAGGCATTACTGAGTAGCCTATATAAGCATAAAACGAAATGTAAAGACGCTGTGGAACTACAATCAGCTACAGATACTGCAGCTTTTATGCAGTGAAGTGATGCAATTAAAGGCTAATATTGCATCATCTCAGTATACATGCATTTTCTATTGGTCACCAGTATCAATTGCGCAATATGCAGCTGAAGTTGCATCATAATTTTGAATGGCTTACGTCATTAGATGGGTGAATATATCATGGAAACTAGAGCCAATCAACATTTTTTAGGGTCATTTTCGTTTTCAGCACCCCAAAATTATGTAAGATTAGCTAATTTTATGCCCAAAACTTTTTACCTGTTGAACAGTGTTATCGTTAAACCATCAGATGAATTATATATCACTAGTAAATGCAAAAAATGCACGATTGTACAGCACAGACATAGCAAAGCTGAACCTGGTGCCATCTTGTGTACAAAATGCAATTAGCAACACAACAATACTGAATATTAGATACAAGAAAAAAAACATTTTATCTTTCACAAATAAATATGAAAGAGAAACAAAATGTTAATTACAACAAAATATATGTATATAAAAAAGGAAACAATAAAAGTTATAAATTCTAAAGAGAGATTATATCTAAAAAATTATTTATAAAAAATATAATGAGAAAAATGATAAATTAGATTTACCCATTATTAATGAATGCGTTTACATCCCACTCAATATTGAGACCATGGGACACATAAGATTTCAAAGTGTAAATCCACCATACTTCCAATTTGGAAATCTCACGTTTGATATAGCTACCCCTCCACTTCTTAGAAAAAGTATCAATGCCAACAAATAGCATAGCCTCAGGGTTTTTATTATGATAAAGAGCAAAATGCTTAGAAACGCTATGGTTGGGAAAGCCCTTTTTTATATTATCAAACCAGGGTAAAAGAGCATATTGCTAAGTTCTAACTGTGCGTCCAATATACTGGTACCCACACTTGCATTGAATTAGATAAACTACATTTTTAGTAGAGCAAGTGATAAAACTTTTAATTTTATATGATTCACTAGTGGTAGTAGAAGAGAAACTATCATTTTTTTCTATTCTTACATATATTAAACCTACACACTGTACACACACGGATAATATCCCTTCATGTCATGAAACATGAAGGGTTTCTTTGGAGCTGTTATAACACTCGGGGCCAAAGATAATCTTAAGGGGGGTGCCCCCCTAAAGATAACAGGAGGAATTTCTGGGAGCAGGGGACCCAAGATTTTATCATGTAGTAGTATACCCCAGTGCTTCCTAAATATCTTCTTAATGTCATAGTATTGGGTGGAACACGTAGTAATAAAAGCCGATTTAAACAACTCCGCAGGGTTATTCCTTAAGCTAGGAACAAGTAGTTCTCTTCTGCTTTTTGCATCTGCCTCCTTGAATGCCTTCTCTAGTAAATAATTATCATACCCCTTTTCAATGAATTGTGATTTCAAACAATCAGCTTCCATTAATAAGTGACTTTTAGGGACTGACTTTAACCACGTTGGGTGGTGACAACTTGTGGGTCCAATAAAACTATTTTTGTCCGTTTTCTTGGAAAAAGTGGAGGTAACTAGCTTCTTGTCCTCCACTCTAATTTTCAAGTCCAAAAAGTGTATTTCTTCTTGACTAAGTTCATATTGAAAGACAATACCCCTATTATTCCTGTTAAGTGTAGAAATAAACTCATCAACAGTATTAGTTTCCCCTTCCCATATGAAAAGGACATCATCGATGTACCTTTTCCAAAATAATAGTTGTGGATATTTTGGACCATAAATGGCCTCCTCCTCCCATTTGGCCATGAAGAGGTTGGCCATACTTGGGGCAAATTTTCCTCCCATGGCCACTCCCCTATTTTGTAAATATAGAAAATGTCCTCAAACCAAAAATAATTGTGTTGCATAGCAAAATCCAGAAGAGAAAGAATAAAATTAATCTGAAGGTCTGATAGTGTGTCATCTTCTTTCAAAAAAATGTTCTACTGCTTCCCTACCATGAGTATGAAAAATAATGGTGTATAAAGAGGCGACAACAGCAGTCACCAAAGTATACGTTTCTTTCCATTCTACATCCTCAAGGAGATTGATGACCTGAGTTGTATCTTTCAAAAAAGATGGTGTATCCACAACCAAAGGTTGGAGAAAATGATCTTTATGTTTACTCACTCTAGAAGTCACTGAATCTGTTCCACTAATAATGGGCCTACCTGGAGGATTGATAGGATCCTTATGCACTTTAGGTAAATAATAGATCACAGGTATCCGTGGTACAATAGGGACCAAAAAGGATTTCTTTTTTACTAATTATTCCATTTTAAAACCTTCAATTAAACCCAATAGCTCTTTTCTATATTAATAGTAGGGTTTTTCTTAAGAGATAATTATGTTTCCCTATCCGCCAATAGGCGGCACATCTCGGATCTGTAAGCTTCCTTATCCAGCACAACTATTCCACCCCCCTTATTGGCCGGACGAACCGCAATATCATTCCGATTTTTTTAAGGTTTCCATTCACATCTGGAATCTGGCATCCAGTCTCTGCTTCCTAATAGAAAGATCATGCAGATCTTTAAGGACTAAATCCTTAATAACAGAGACTGCAGGTGCCACATTTCCAGACGGGTTAAAGAGAGATGCATTAGCTAAAGAGGTGTGTTTGAAATTGTGCTCCGCTACAGTCATAATCCCACTAGTTCTAGTTGGATTACTGACTAGATACCTTTTTATATTCAATTTTCTAATGAATTTATGAACATCCATAAAAGTCTCAAATTTATTAAGTTTTCTTGGGGGGGGGGGGGGGGGTTTAGACGCGACTTAATATATATTGTTCATTATCACGGAGGAGCTAAGATTAAGTAAACCTATATTACTTATACCCGCCTTCTTTTTTGAGTGGAACCTCCTCCCCCCTCTGGTGCCCCTTTTTGTTCTATTGTTCTTTTTGAGTTTATATTTACTTTGGGGAAAAATGTGGATTAGTATTGGGGCCCCAAGAGCCTTCATTTTTATATAGTGCCTGATTACATGAGTAACTCACATCACTATGATCCCTTGAAGATCTTGATGTCTGTGGAGTCTCTGGAATACAGTTCCTAGATTCATAATTATTCTGTATATAAGGATGTTCTGTAAAGTATCTATCTGGTTCCCAGTTACCATCTCTATATTCATCCTGTAGTGGTGTAAATCGGTTATGGGTGTTAAAACCCCCTCTACTCCTGGGGTGAAATTGGCCTCTTGGGTTACCTCTACCCCAACCCCTTCCCCTTTTAACATTAGACATATAATTAGGTGAATGAGAATATTGGGACCTAACATTATCTCTCGGCAAAGCCGAACCTATGGTGAAATCTGTACGGATTGACCTTGAGGACAGCTTACTACTATCCCTATCTTCTACTGTCCCTATGTTGGGATCTAAAATTAAAGTTCCATCCTATAGTTGCCATCTAAATACTCTGTTAATCTTCTAGTCCTCAATGTCTTTCATATATTTTTTTTCCTTTTTTTTTTTATTTATTGTTCTGTGTCCCCCCCTTGTCAAGATGTTTTTTAAGGTTATCTGATCTATTGATATATTCTTCTTCTGCCTTAAAAGTAAAGTAATTTACTCTTTATAGCATTGAAACAGTGAAGTGGCGAGCGAGTGACCAGAATGATTATTGCACCACATCCCTTAAAATTGCAAATAATCAATAGAGAAGATGGGACTTTCAGGGTGCATAAACACGAATACCACACATTAAAAGTTATATAATTTTTATTTCGTATTTTGGTAAAACAAGAAAGGAAAAGATACAAAAAAATAAAAACAATTTCAATTCTAAGAATACCAACTGAGATTCAGACTTGGTTAGGTAAATGTAGTATACTCCCTACATGTTTCGCCCTCACGGGCTTCTTCAAGGGAGATTTTTTGAGGACATTTCTACCGCCAAGGCCTGGATGTGAAAGCTCACAGAGCTAGAAGAAAATGACCTAAATAAATCTTAATTGGCCTACACGTCCAAAACAGTTGTAGAGGATATAATGGGCATCAGATATCATCTGTTAAATATTTAAATTCAAGTAGCAAGGAAAATGTAGGGAAAAAGGATCTTAATTGAGGATCAATTTTCAATTCCACCACCAAATATCAGCAAAGGACAAACGTCCAAACGATATTAGCTCCATTCAGATCCAATACAGCCTCCAAGATACTCAGTGTGCACTGGTGATTAGCTAATATCGTCTGGACTTTTGTCCTTTGCTGATATCTGGTGGTGGAATTGAAAATTGATCCTCAATTAAAATCTTTTTTCCAAATCATCCAAAAATCATCCAAAAAGCAAAAGAATCCTCATAGTGTAGTATGATTAGCAGGATTTATTGCCTTACAACGTAGTATTAAATGTACATCAAAAGATAATTAAAACATCATGTCACCATATAACCAAATGGTATGTTTCTAACCAACAAGATGGCCGCCACGCTCTGTGTGTACTGATGTCAGGAGATCTGACTCCTCCCAATGAGTTTCGTCATCTGTGCTGTCTTCAGGGGCGTGGCCAGCGTGCGAACACAACGCCAATATATAGGAAGGAGGGAGCCCAACTCCTCCCCTATTTCAATCAAGGCTAATACCAGAACATGAAAGAACGCATTAGCACTAAAGCCAGTGTCAGTGTCCCTTAGAACTGAATATATTGGACACTTGACACAAAAAACAACTAAACACTATGACGGATTATCGTTAAACCATCAGATGAATTAGATATCACTAGTAAATGCAAAAAATGCAGCATGGACATAGCAAAGCTGAACCTGGTGCCATCTTGTGTACAAAATGCAATTAGCAACACAACAATACTATATATTAACAGATACAAGAAAAAATATTTTATCTTTCACAAATAATGAAAAAGAAAAACACATTTTCAATTACAACTAAATATATATATATATATATATATATTGTGAGAAATCGCTTCAAAATGGTAGTGCTTTTCTTGTTAAAGCACACAGCAACTCGCTTCTTTAAGGGCCTTTTTGCCCAAGTTTATTTAAAAGAAAAAGTTCCATAAAAAAAAATGCTTCCCACGCAGGGGTATCCACCATCAAACCATATTCAGCCTTCTGGCTAGTACACCGATTTCCGTCTGTCTCCTGCAGACTCTTTCCAAAATAGGGCACACAGCTGGCCACTAGCACACAGCTAGTCTGGCTTCCACCTCTCCTTGGTGAAGCCCACCTGACTCCAAGGCAGAGACCTCCCGTCTGCCAGGGTGGAGCCCTCCTGACTCCATCTTCCGGGGTGGAGCTCAGAATCATGGCCTGGCCTCCACAAAAAGGCCTGCACACACCTGTGCAATCAGCACACTGGCTGCTCTCAAAACATGGGCCCAGGATTGGAGATTTCATCCTTTTCCAAATCTCTTAGAAATCTCCAGGCTACAGGTCCCAAAACAGGCTTTACAAACCAGAGAGGAAACTTATAAACCAGTTTCCTCTACATTATGAGAACTGCCTGGAGCCCCTCAACCTGTATAGTTGAGAATCCTGGGTCTCCATCGTGATTTCTACCGTGGCAGGATACCGCACTGCCACATATATATATATATATATATATATATATATATATATATATATTTATAGGAAACCGTAAAAGTTATACATTCGAAAGAGAGATTATATCTAAAAAATTAATTATAAAAAATATAATGAAAAAATGATAATTCGATTGACCCATTATTAATGAATGCGTTTACATCCCATTCAATATTGAGACCATGGGGCACATAAGATAAGAAGTGTAAATCCATCATACTTCCAATTTGAAAAGCTCACGTTTGATATAGCTACCCCTCCACTTCTTAGAAAAAGTATCAATGCCAACAAATAGCGTACCCTCAGGGTTTTTATTACGATAAAGGGCAAAATGCTTAGAAATGCTATGGTTGGGAAAGCCTGTTTTTATATATTAGTAATATGCTCTTTTTCCCTGGTTTGAAAAGTTCTAACTGTGCGTCCAATATACCGGTACCCACACTTGTATTGAATTAGATAAACTACATTTTTAGTAGAGCAAGTGATAAAACTTTTAATTTTATATGATACACTAGTGGTAGTAGAAGAGAAACTATCAATTTTTCTATTCTTACATATATTAAACCTACACACTGTACATTTTCTACACGGATAATATCCCTTCATGTCGTGAAACATGAAGGGTTTCTTTGGAGCTGCTTTAACACTCGGGGCCAAAGATAATCTTAAGGGGGGTGCCCTTAACTACTTGCCGACTGCAGATAGCCGAATGACGGCTGCACTGCGGCCGGCCAGTTCTGGGTGGACGTCATATGACGTCCTCTCAGAACGCGCTCTCCTACGGACACAGCTGATCACGTGACGTGGTAAAAGGCCAATCACAGTGGCCTTTTACCACTTGATCAGCCGTGTCCAATGACACGCTGATCACAGGGAAATGCAAATGCCGGTTCTCGGCTGCACTTTCCTCATGCTGTCAGATCGTGAGGAAAGTACTGCCGAGAACCGGCAGTTGTCAGAGCAGGGATCGGCACCGATCATCAGGGCACTGATCATCAGTGCCCTGATGATCATTGCCCAGCAGTGCCACACACAAGTTCCGCCCACCTGTGCCCAGCAGTGCCCCCACCTGTGCCACACAGCAGTGTCACCACCTGTGCCCAGAAGTGCCACCTACCTGTGCCCAGTAGTGCCACCCACCTGAGCCCACCAGTGCCACCCACCTTTAACCACCAGTGCCACCCACCAGTGCCCATCAGTGCAGCCCAGCAGTGCTGCCAGTCAGTGCCACCAGTCAGTGCCCAGCGGCTGTGCCAGTCAGTGCCCAGCAGTGCCACCAGTCAGTGCCACCTATCAGTGCTGTCTATCAGTACCAATTATCAGTGTTGCCTATCAGTGCCACCAATCAGTGCCGCATATCAGTGCCACCTATTCGTAACACCTCATTAGTGCTGCCTATCAGTGCCGCCTATCCGTGCCACCTCATTATTGCTGCCTATCAGTGCCTTTCAGTGCTGCCTATCAGTGCCAATCAGTACCGCCTATCAGTGCCCATCAGTGCCACCTCATCAACGCACATCAGTGAAGGAGAAAAATTACCTGTTTGAAAAATTTTATAATAGAAACAAAGAAACTTTTTTTTTCAACATTTTTTGCACTGTTTTTGTTTATAGCGCAAAAATAAAGTGCCCAGCAGTGATTAAATACCACCAAAAGAAAGCTCTATTTGTGAGAAAAAAAATTATAAAAATTTCATATGGTACAATTTTGCATGACCGCGCAATTGTCAATCAAAGTGCGACAGCGCTGAAAGCTGAAAATTGGCCTGGTAATTAAGGGGGTATAAGTGCCCGGTAGGCAAGTGGTTAAAATTCATCAATCTGTCCTTCAACTGGATGAAGAACTTAGTACCTTGAGGATGTAGAATGGAAAGAAACGTATACTTTGGTGACTGCTGATGTCGCCTCTTTATACACCATCATTTCTCATACTCATGGTAGGGAAGCGGTAGAACATTTTTTAAAAGAAGATGACACACTATCAGACCTTCAGATTAATTTTTTTTTTCTCTTCTGGATTTTGCTATGCAATACAATTAGTACATGACATGAAGGGATATTATCCGTGTGTGTACAGTGTGTAGGTTTAATATATGTAAGAATAGAATAATTGATAGTTTCTCTTCTACTACCACTAGTGTATCATATAAAATTAAAAGTTTTATCACTTGCTCTACTAAAAATATAATTTATCTAATTCAATACAAGTGTGGGTATCAGTATATTGGACGCACAGTTAGAACTTTTCAAACCAGGATAAAAGAGCATATTACTAATATAAAAAAGGGCTTTCCCAACCATAGCGTTTCTAAGCATTTTTCCCTTTTTCAGAATAAAAACCCTGAGGGTACACTGTTTTCTTGGCATTGATACTTTTTCTAAGAAGTGGAGGGGTAGCTATATCAAGCGTGAGCTTTCCAAATTGGAGGTATGGTGGATTTACACTTTAAAATCTTATGTGCCCCATGGTCTCAATATTGAGTGGGATGTAAACACATTCATTAATAATGGGTAAATCTAATTATCATTATATTTTTTTTAATACATTTTTTAGATTTACTCTCTCCTTAGAATTTATAACTTTTATTGTTTCATATATATATATTAGTTATTCTTATATAATTAAAAATGTGTTTTTCTTTCATATTTATTTGTGAAAGATAAAATATTTCTTTCTTGTATCTGTTATTATTCAGTATTGTTGTGTTGCGAATTGCATTTTGTACACAAGATGGCACCCAGGTTCAGCTTTGCTATGTCCATGCTGCATTTTTTTTCATTTACTAGTGATATCTAATTCATCTGATGGTTTAAAAAGATAATCCATCATAGTGTTTAGTTTTTTTTTGTGTCAAGTGTCCCATATATTCAGTTCTACGGAACACTGACACTGGCAACGTATCTGGGGGCGTGTTTGGCTTCAGTGCTAATGTGTCCTTTCCTGTTTTCGGTATTAGCCTTGATTGAAATAGGGGAGGAGTTGGGCTCCCTCCTCCCTATATATAGGCGTCGTGTGCGCTCACTGGCCACAGCCTTGAAGACATCACAGATTACGAAACGTATTGAGAGGAGTCAGAGCACGTGACATCAGCACACACTGGAACATGGTGGCCATCTTGTTGGTTAGAAACATATCATTTGGTTATATGGTGACATGTTGTTTTAATTATCTTTTGATGTACATTTAATACTACACTGTAAGGCAATAAATCCTGTTTACTCATACAACACTATGAGGATTCTTTTGCTTTTTGGATGATTTTTGGAAATATCCTCTTTGAGGATAATTCATTGTTTTAGGTCTATATTTGGCAAATTACCTGGAGTATCAGTTTGGGAGCGAATGCCTTGATTTGGGAATCTATTGAGAGGGATCCAATAGGCATCTATCTACATCCAACATTTGGAGATCACCTTATCCTTCCAGAGTAAATAGTGTCTGAGTTTGTCATCCTAATTTGATATCTGCACTATGCTTTTCCACTTAATTGTGTGGTCATTCCAGTCTGGTAAGAGGCAGTATTTCTTGAGGTGCTGGTGATGGTGGACTACCAAGGCATTTTTTTGAACTCTTTGAATTTATATTTGTCATGAGAGACTTTTTTTTTTATCTTTCATTTTTTTCTGCAAATCATTGAACTTTTTAATTTTTATTTTTTATTTCATGTTTAGTTTTAGAATTTTAATTGTAGCGCCGTACATTTTCTGTTTTATATGTTTTATGTATTGATACCTGCAATACTGTGCTGGCTGCTTTTTTGTTGTTACTTTACATGATATTTGAATATATATAGGGCGGAAGTGTTAAATTGTTAAACATCATGTTTGGTATCTATTTACGCGGCTTACCATCATCTTTTATATATTTTACCAAATAATTGGCCAATATATTGTGTTCTTGTGCATTAAATGTAAAAAAAAGTGTATTTTTTTTCAAAAAATTTGCGTTTGAAAAATCGCTGTGCGAGTACTATGTGACATAAAAAATTGCAGCACCCATCATTTTATTCACTAGGGTATCTGCTTTAAAAATATATAATGTTTGGGGGTTCAACGTACTTTCCTAGTAAAAAAAAATACTGATTTTTTTTTTCATGTGAACAAAAAGTGTTAGAAAAGTCTTGGTCTTCGGGTGGTTAGAAAAGTGAGTGATGTGTGTGTCACGGATCCAATCCACACGCATAAACTTCTTATGTTGAGCATAAAATGCCCCCACCCCCCAAAAACAATCCCTTTTTGGAAAGTAAAAGCCCAAAACTATTTGCTGACAGGCATGTTGAATCAATAGAAGAATTTATTTTTTTTACCACAAGCTTTTGGAAAATGACAAAAATTAAAACATTTGTTTTTTTACACAAAATTGTCACTTAAATGATTTATTGCTCACACATGCCATGGATATATGTGGAATTACTCCCCAAAATACATTCTGCTACTTCTCCCGAGTATGGGGGTACCACATGTGAGAGACATTTTGGCAGTCTAGCCAAGTACAGGACCCCAAAATCCAATAAGCACCTTCAGGCTTTTAAAGGGATTTATTTCCTCATTACACTTCCTGACTACCTATCACAGTTTCAGAGGCCCTGAAATGCCAGGATAGCACCAAACCCCCCCCCCCCCAAAAAAAAAATTACCCCTTACTGGAAAGTAGACACCCCAAGGAATGTGATAAGAAGCATGGTGAGTATTTTGCAGATCTCATTTGTTTTCACAAATTTTTTGGAAAATGAAGAAAAAAAAAAAAACATATTTTTTTTTTCTATTTTTTATATTTCAAAACCTTGTGAGAAAAAAAATAAGATCTGCAAAATACTCACACCATGCCTCTTTTTAAATTCCTTGGAGTGTCTACTTTCCAAAAAGGGGTAATTTTGGGGAGGTTTGGTGCTATCCTGGCATTTCAGGGCCTCTAAAACTGTGATAGGTAGTGAGGAAGTGTAATGAGGAAGTTACGCACCTTCAGGCTTTCAAAGTTGTCATTGGATTTCAGGATCCTGTATGTGGCTAGGCTCCCAAAAAGTCTCACACATGTGGTATCCCTATACTCGGTAGAAGCAGCGGAATGTATTTTGTGGTGTAATTCCACATATACCCATGGCTTGTGTGAGAAACATAATTTAAATGAAAACTTTGCGTAAAAAAAAAAAAAATGTTTTGTAATTTTCCAAAAATTTGTGGAAAAAAATAAATCTTCCATGGACTCAATATGCCTCTCAGAAGATAGCTTAGGGTGTCTACAAAGGGGTCATTTGGGGGTGTTTATACTATCCTGGTATTTTAGCACCTCAAGAAATGTGATGGGCAGTCAGAAAGTAAAAGCTGTGTAAATTCCACTATCTATACCATAGTTTGTAGACGCTATAACTGTCACACAAAGCAATCAATATACACTTATTGGGATTTTTCTAACCAAAAATATGTAGCAGAATACATTTTGGCCTAAGTTTATGACAAAATGTGTGTTTTTTGGATCTTTCTTATGATAGAAATTAGAAAATATTGTTTTTTTTTTTTATTTTGTTCTCAAAATGTTATTTGTTTATAGCGCTAAAAATAAAAAGCGCACAGGTGATCGAACACCACCAAAAGAAAGCTCTATTTGTGTGAAAAAAGGATGTAAATTTCATTTATGTACAATATTGCATGACTGTGCAATTGTCTGTTAAACTAGCGCAGTGCTGTATAGCAAAAAAAATGGCGTAAATTGCAGTATCTATCCCATAGTTTGTAGACGCTATAACTTCCACACAAAGCAATCAATATACACTTATTGGGATTTTTTTTTACCAAAAACATGGAGCAGAATACATTTTGGCCTAAATTTATAACTAACTTTGAGTTTACTATATATTTTTATAGCCGAAAAAGCCGAATAAGTAAAAAAATATTGTTTTTCTTCCAAATTTTCTGTCTTTTTTTGTTTATAGCGCGAAAAATAAAAAGCGCACAGGTGATCAAATACCACCGAGAAAAAGCTCTATTTGTAGGAAAAAAGGATGTAAATTTTGTTTGGGTGCAGCAGTGCATGACTGCGCAACTATCAGCTGAAACAGTGCAGCGCCGAGTAGGAAAAAGAGGCGTGGCCATTAAGGGGGGTAAATCCTCTGGAGGGCAAGTGGTTAATAGAGGACATACATATCAAAAATTGCCAGTCTGTTTATTTACTGAATACATTTTCTAGAATGAGTATTATGTTCCTCTTACTCATTCTTGTGGGAATGATATCTGGGGCCTCCTCATTTATAAAGGGAACTTCTAAATTCTGATAAGTCCTCTACCACTTGGCCAGGGTGGTGAAGAAGAGTCCCTTGCCCTACATGGGACAAGGTACTTTGCCAGGGGGATA